TCCGCACTTCGCTCACCTTCATTTTTCTTATTTCATACAGACACTCATAGAACTCGGGCTCATCTACAATCAAATCGGAGATAAAGGTGCACAAGTTCTTGGTGAAGCCTTACAAAACAACACAGTGAGAGAACACATCATCTTCTGCACTTCTCTCATCTTCATTTTCTTATTCCATAAAGACACTCACTATACTCATGCTCGGCAACAATCAAATTGGAGATAAAGGTGCACAAGCTCTTGGTGAAGTCTTACAAAAGAACGCAGTAAGAGAAAATACTACTCTCTGCACTTCTCGCATCTTCATTTTTATTATTTTATACAGACACTCATGCGTCTCCATCTCTGCAACAATAAAATCGGAGATAAAGGTGCACAAGCTCTTGGTGAAGCCCTACAAAATAACTCAGTGAGAGAAAGCATCACTCTCTGCACTTCTCTCATCTTTATCTTTCTTGTTTTTTACAGACACTCGTACAACTCATCATCTCTAAGAATGAAGTCGGAGATCAATGGATACAATATCTACAAAAAGTTGCAGACAAAAATACATGGTTGAGCATAACTTTATGAGAAAGACTCCAATAGAAAAGAAAAAAGTGTTATTGTGTTGTATTCTGTATGAAACAAAACGTATATATTGAAGAAACATATTAATATTTAAAACAGTTCATACGGAATGCGCTGGTGTGAACAGCTACCATTATCTAGATTCCACCCTCGCAACAGAGATCTTCAGATGGCTGGTTGGGTGGGTCTAAGTGTGTATTGTATTTATAGAAATACTAACACTACAGTTTCGACCTCATTCAAGGGTTATATCATCAGATAGTTTTGACTTAGGCATAAGATTTCAAAAAAAGAACATAGAAACGATGAAAATGTTGAGAGTGAGTTTGGGTGTGGATCTGAGTGATGAGGACGTGAACACGCATACTCATTCCACGATCCTATCAACACTGACACTTTCAAGATGGTTTCATATTATAGTGAATATCACAATTAATATATTAAACACCTTTGTTGATATGGCATACCTTATCTGTGTCTTTAATAATAAGCATTCTACCGTTGATATATAATTTACAAAATGTTTTTTACTGGTCACTTTTACAAAAAAATTATTAAAATTGGAAATGCTTTTTCAATTAGAAAATAAAACGACGATTCAAAATTGTTGCAACCAATTATAGAACGATTACTGTTCTAGAATGAATGAAAGGATAAAACACGCCAGTGATACAGAATCATTTTGAGGGAATGGATATTATTCCCATTCAGTACTCGAACTTACAAGCGGATCCAGACGCCACCCACATTCATAACCCGCTCTCAGCAATCTTCTAAATCGTAACTTTGTGTTGAATCCATTTACATAATGCTGTAACGCTTAGAAATTTCTATCAAATCATAGATCGCGATTTAAAAGTGCTTGATACAATTGCAACATTAGTATTTTGTATGTAGGGAGTCAATTAAGAACACATATTTTCAATATTTATCACGATCAGAATTAATTTCATAAGGAGAGTCGATCTTTGCGTAATTCTGATCATTCTCGTTTAAAATCAACAATAAACGAACTATTCTTCAAATCTGTTTTATCTCTGTGCAAATATACTGCTCCAATTTTATCACAACATAATAAATTTTGTATATTATTCTGGCAAGAAGATGTGAGGATTTCCTACCCGCTTACACCGAAAACCACACCTAATCTTTCAAGTCGATGTCGATAGGCATAAATATTTCAAACTTATATTGTTGATGAAAAATAATGCAGCAAGACTAAAAGCTACCTTAGTCATGCTGTTTCTTTCATACGATGTTGCAATTCTATGACTCATGAAAATTACAAAATTATAACGGAATCATTCTTCTGTTATAAGAAAATATGGGGTCATGAAAATATTGCAGCTGGAGCAAATCTTGGTGATCTGCATTTTGATAATCATCGTGTTATTCTTTGTGATTTTACAATTTATGGCAGCAATCCAGAAGGCACGGAAATTCATGCTCTTGATTATCAATTAAAATATAATCTTCCCGATGATCTCGAAAGTGAATCATTAGTTGTTAATGGTCAATTATCAGTTATATCTGTCAATGATGAATCACTTATTCAACATATTGATCCACAAGTGCAAACTTTACAGGCAATTCAACTTGCTGGAGAAATGGATGATCGAATTGTTGAATTGATTAAAAAACGTCGAAGAGATCATGCTATTACATTACTTACTGAACAAGTCAATGTTCTTAAGCAAGTGGAACATTTAAATGATGATAAAGGTATGATTGCAATGTTAATTCGAATGGAAAAAAACTTACACAAAAAGATTAAAGGCTCAAACAATGAGTGCGAAAGCTGCTGCTCGAAAATGTGGTCATCATGATTTACAATTATAACTGAAATTAATCGAGATTGATGTTGAAACTGACGGTTATTTTTTAAATAAATAATCTTTTTCGTTCTTTTGATCATTTCAAATAATATAAAATGTCCTCAGTTCTAGGTGAAAGACCTCTGTTAGGTTTTAACAGATTTTTACCTAAAAAAATTCTAGAATTAATAAAATTTGACTATGAAAAGACATGAAGAATGATACTGTACTAGTATTGAGACTAAAGCAGATTTTGAAATTATATGTGATTTTTCTATAATTCTATTCAAACATTTTAGGCACTCATATTATTTTTATTAAATAGAAAAAAAGCAATAAGTTATAATTGAATATTTATGTAGTACTGTTAGATAATGTATACGGAATTGTCGCAGCTGTATCCGTAGCCCATTCTCGTGGTATTGAATATTCTGCACTTGCTTCTAATGTTAATGATATATTTATTGTCATCCCTAATTGTAGAGTTGGTCGACCGGTATCTTTGTTCAATAAGAATCCTTCGAATGGTGTTCGCATTTCTAATTCATTACCTTTTGCACTTCGAGAATAACTAATTACACCATGAAATGGTCCAGGTGCTTTGTCTTGAGTAAAACATATATAACTATTAATATATGGACGAGGTAATTGATATGGTCCATCTAAACATCCTTTCGTTTCATTTTCAGTTGGTTTATTTTTCCAATAAATGTATTCCGAGAAAAAGTGATAAGTTGATGGAATAAGTAAAAAATGATTCTTTTTATTTTCATTTTTTAAATAATTTATTTCCGTATTGTTATTAGCGGCATGATCGAAAAAAGAATCTTGATTATATGAACCATTAAAAAATTCTACTTCAAAATTTGCATCAAATCCTGGTGCAGTTGGATGGTAAGAACCTGAATGTAACCAACAACCTGTTGTATCATTATTATCAATATTAACTGCTGCTATTACATAAAATCTTCCAGCTGACGATTGTGATGGATCATTTTTATCGAATTCATTTGATCCAACAGAAGTCTTACCAATAACTCCACCATCAACTACACGATAATAGACATATAAAGATGTATCATCGTGAGCTATTTTAAATTCAACTATATTCACGTTTGGATTATAAATATGTTTTGGTATAGGATCTGGTTGAGGAGTATCTGTATCGTGACAATCAGGAAATTTCAAGGAAGGAAACCATGGACTTTGATCATAAACTGTACCATCGATAGTATCTTCTGGGTCAGTATAAGATGGAACATTTTTCCAATCATCAAAATTACCATCAATTTTAATATTACGATTTATTGGATCAGATTTTACAAGATGAATTATTAAATAAATAAAGAATATCTTCTTCAAAATACACATGATTATTCTCAACTACTTGAAGAATTAAATCTAGAAAAATTATAGAAATATTGAAAAGTGTGAGTATATATTCATATATAGTACTAATAAAGAAAATCATATAAAAAAAATGAAGTAGCAGTAGTTTTTTAACCCATACTGTCCTTTTTTCTTTTCTTCTTCATATCTTATCTTTGCATTATTTCTCTACTGCAAAGCTAAACATGTAAAGCATACGAACAAACTATTCATAAGATGATAGAAGAAGCATGGGTTATAAATGTTATCTGAATGTAAATATATCATCTTCATGCAAAAAGAGAACAAAAGATGCCGATTTAATATTTCAATCAATTCTAGTTAGTTACGTTGAAAATGATCAACTTGAATATGTTTTATCTTGTTGTAAATGGTGCTTCAAATTTACATTTTCATAATGATCTCTCACGAATTTATTAAAATCTTCAACCATATTTACCACGTCCAACTTTTGAAACATAGATTCATCAAATAGTACAAAGATATTGACCTATGAACTAATCGAAAAGTTCATTCTATAGTATAGAAAATATTGATAGATTGTATAAGATTCGTTATTGGAGTTGACCGTTGTTACAGAGGTCACCGAATAGATATAAAAAGAGGAACACTGTTACTTATTGTTCAAAATATGGCAAAACGATTCAAAACAACGTCCGAACAAAGTAGGTCTTTTTCTTTACTTTGTCTAAACGTGAATTTTTTTCTAAAAAGATTTTTGTTCAACATTTGAATGTCTCTCGGATGAATTGGTTCTCAATATCTTCGATTATTTCAATACAAAAGAAATTTTCAAGTCATTTTCCTATCTTAATTCACGTTTTACATCATGCATATTCGATCGACGTCGTCAACTTCATTTATATCTTAATCCTAAAATGTGTAACTTTTCTACAAAATACTCTCCTGATCAAGTCATTTCACTTTACATGAAGAATGCTATTATTCCAACTGGTATCTTTCGTAATCTGAAATCACTTTCTATGATCTATCAAATAGAACAAAAAGATGAATTTCTTCAACTGATCAACGAGGTTAGTCTAAGCAAAAAATAATACTTTTGTTTAGTTATGTCTTATAATTCATTTATTTAGATATCCAATTTATCTCAATTGATCAATGTCAAGTTATCACTTGCACGTCATACCGATGTACCATGGATTGGCCAACGGATGGTTGATATTGCTTTATGTCATTCTTCTATTGAACGAATTATTCTATTAAATAGTTCATCTGTACAGTTTTACTCAAAACGAAGAAATTCAAGATTCAATTCGAACTTTCCTTACCAAAAAGTTTTTGTTCCTGATGAGCCTTTTGCAGGAAAAAGTGATTCTTTTACGTTAAGATTCGAAAACAAAACAATACCTCTAGAGATTACAAAGCAATACGATGTTCGCCATCTTACTCTTCAGTTTAACAGTTGGAGATTACAATCAATCGTTAAACTCTTATCTGTTATGCCTTTGTTAATTACACTAAACATTAAAGGACGGTCTTGCTGTACTGACGTATATGGTTGGCTTTACATCGACGTTTGGGATGAAATGTTGCAAAAATTAAAGGCATTAGAAAGAGTCACTATTGATATCTGTCTTTGTATATCATTTAGTTCAAGGCAAAAATCTGCCGCAAAATTCAATGAACTTGCAACAGAAAAATTTCAGACATGCAAAAGAATAAACTTAAAAGCCGAACGACGAACTAAAAATCCAGGAAATGGTTGTGTCCAGATTAGTGCTTCCTACAATATGAACTAGATTACTGACGAACTCTACAAACATTGTCACATTTATTATATTTGTTTTCCTTTGTTTATGATTGTTATTCGAAAAAATAAATTCACAAAGCAGTCAATACAAGCTCATAATCAAAAATTTTGTCATGAGATTTCAGCCTTGTTTCTTTTGTTAAATTATCTAATATTTTCCATGTCTTTGTATTTCTTGCAATCAGTGTGCCTCATGCTCGGTGATACCATTACCGGCAATGTAAAGAGCAGTGGAAATCTATGGAAATCGATAAATAAATAGACATAGCTGTGGAATAAGGAATATTACTGTGTCCTTCCAAAATGCATTATCATCTTGAGGGTGCGAGTGTGAGTATCGTTAATGAATGGGTAGAATACGAACACCCACACATATTCAAATACACTCAAATCCTCAGATCATTGTATATTCAAATTTATTGCCAAATTGAAGGAAAATGTTTTTTTCTGCAATTCTGGAAGCGTAGAATGAGAAAAATCGATGGTTACAACCTGTTTTTACGATGTCTGGCCGATGAAAACTCGGGGTCCCATCCAAATATCTTGTTTTAAGCTCTGTCAGAGAAAGCACACATAAAAACATTGAATATTTGTATCAGAGTCCCGTTTCGTATCTGTTTACCTAGAAGAAGTGAAATGATTCGTTTTATAAAAATATGCACTTGAAAGTGAACCATTTTTGAGCAATATAATAATGATTAGATGAAATTTCATTGTCATTTAACGGAGGAGCTCTTTTCCTACAGCTTTGTAGAGAATTTGACGGACTATTCCTTTAAGAAAAATTCAAGACTATATGTCGAAGTCGGACTTAAATATTCTCAAAATACTGATACCGCTATTTATTCTGTCTTACCCATTATATTCATTAATCTGTATTGATATTCGTGTTATATTAAATCTATTTAAGTTACTTTTCTTAATACAAGTCCCTTCTTCGTGCGAAAAAATGAGGACAGCACTCAATGGTTAAAGAGATTATGAGTTTTAGAGTTATTCAGTTCGACATACATCGGTGCCGACCTATTCTAATATCTGGAATACTATATTTTGACTATCGATGAGGACAATTAATCGAAGAGGAAGGAAATATTAAGTTCAATTACATGAACTATAACTAAGGGCTACATTGTATAAGAAATCTAAAGTACTAATTATTAAATTCATAAGTTTTTACATTGTTGTTTCCATGGCAAAATATGTTCTTCAGTCGATATTTTTATTAAGATTTTATATAAATTATATAAATATTTATAAAATAATAATAAAGTATTTATGTGGAAATATACTGTTGATTTTGCTCTAGTTTAGTTTCCTTTGGCGCCGTTTTTTTTTTCTCTTAATCGAAGCAAATATATTTGATTATTTAATGAAGGAGAAAACCATCGACGTGTAAAAGATTTAACACAAAGTGTTCAAAATGTTCGTCAAGAAAAAATTACTGAATTAGCAAGACGTGTTGTATTAATCGCGTATCAAAAAGTTGTTCGTGAAGATTGAGCAGAAAAAGAACGTCGTCATCGACAATTAGAACGTGAACAACAATGCATGTTTGCTGCAGTTAAACTTCAATCATGGTGAAGAGAAAGAAAAAAAAAGATGTTATTATCTATAATTTTCTTTTCTTGTTTTTCATTTCATATTTTCCTATTCTATTCATTTACATTGTCATTATTTAAATAGAAGACTAGAAATAGTAATTTTAATGATATTCACACATATATTAAGTATGAAATATAATTATTATGGAACAATTGTGATATTCATAGATTATTTGTATGCATTTATATGATGCTTGTCAATTACGAGCTATGTTTTTAAAATAGAAGCAATATTTCTTTTGAAGAAAATAAGTATGGAAGAATAGATACCATAGGATATATGTCAAATAATCATGTTTTTTCTTTTTAACAGCTTTCTTGCTAGTTTAATGCCATAAAACTGTCAGTTGTATATATTCAGAACAGATTAGAAGACAGAACAACGAAGAAAAAGTAGACACCCGGTAAATGCTTTCTGTACAGAGGATTCTTCTTTTTCCATATTCATTTCTATCCCTTATGATTTTAAGAAAATTATTTTTTTATCGAAGTCAGAACAATATTTATCACAAGTAATGATTTAATAATATTGTTTGACACATCTGTCTTCTAGTTTTATCTTAAATCTGTAATATAAAAGTATAACAATGTCTGACAGATAGTAATCCGATATAGCAAAAGCATTTCTTTAGGTGTCAGAAAAGAAGAACAGAGAAAGCTTGTTTGAATATTGAATTGTTTCGACGTATTTTTCTTCAGTCATCTTTCGTAAACAGAGAGTCTCGTTTCGGTAAGATCTGTTCTATCTCTTATTTCTAATCTTTATTATAATTAACTATTTATATCTTCGAAGAAAAAAATTTTTAATAAAAAATAGCCTAGATTATATTCATCTTCTATGTATTATTCTATTCATAAATATAGTTCAAAGAGCAGCCTTTTGACATATGAATTTCATTAGATATATAGTATTCAGATCATTGTAAGAAATTTATTACTGATGAGTAGTATATTAACATTTATAGACGGTAAGATAAAAATAATCTACAACGTATCGATTAGTATATAATTTGAGGCAAAAATTTTTAGTTGATTAACCAAAAGTATGATGATCTATCATGCAAAAAAGAAGTTTTAATAATAAATGAAGATCTGCGCTTTATAATAAAAATACTTATTATAAAAACATGATAGTGTCTATAAGTATAGCTAAATAAGAATATGCTATAATTATGTTTACGTGAATCAACATCTGTTTGCCAATTTATAATTACCTATGAGAAACAAATCTATTTTTTATTCGAAAATTTAAGGAACTTTGATCTCGTTTTTATTTAGATATTGATTATCAAATAATTAAGAATGAGTATTTTTAAAATAATACAAGAATCGTGTCCAGTCATCGAACCACAGCTGAATGCACTTTGTAATAGTGATAGTCGGGGACCTAATGAGGAACACTGTAAAAATATTCATATTTACGTGTTTCTTATCGATGCTGAATGTTACATAAGTAAAATATTTTATCCGTTAACTTTACTATTTATTATAATTGATACAGTACTTAATTTATATTCTTTATACTGTTTTCTCAAAATAAAGAAACGTAATTCTCAAAATGTTTATTTATCTGTATTATCACTTGTCGATACAATTAATTTACATATTAATTTTGCTTTACCTATTTTACGAAAAATAGATACAATTGATGAAGAATTTCGTAGTTTAAATGTGATATGCCGTTTAACTGGTGTATTAACGGAATTTTTTCTAATTTTTCCAACATGGATTGTCATTTTACTAACGTTTGAACGTTTAATATTCATTATACGCCCATCTAAACGTCCTTTAACCTATACACAACTAAGAGCAAAAATATCGATACTTTTCTTAGCACTATTTGTTCTACTTTTAAGTTTATATCGTTTAAAAGATTTGGAAGGTATTGATCAACTTAGTGTTTTTTCTACTCTTCCATGCGATGTAGACGATGAATTAGATCGAGAAGGTGAATCATATGATAAATTAAGATATATGAATTTAATAATTTGGACAATATTACCAGAATGTTTAACATTTCTAATGAGTTTAATTATAATTTATCAAATAAAATTAGTTGCTAAAAGAATGCAATCAAATCATTCTAGAGCTTGTCAACCAAAATATAATCAAGCAACAAGAATAGCTTTATTAATATCAATACTATTTCCTATTTTTCATGCTCCAACAGGTATATATTTTGAAGTTTTTGTATTAAATATTATTTTTAATTAATTTTTACTCATAGTTATTATGATTACTCTTGATTTCATTTATCGAAGTAACCCAAGAACACCGGGTATTATAATGATTCTTGTTTCAAATAAATTAACTATGATTTTTTATGAAATAAGTTTATCATGTAAATATTTTATTTATAAACAAACATTTCGAAATTCTAGGTAAGTTTAATATAGATTCATCAGCCTTGAGTTTATTACGTATTTAATATGAGTATTTTATTTCGATAATTACTTTTCTTTCTTTGTCTCTCATGCATAATTTATAACTTAAAATGCGAAAAATAATCAGGCTTTGTTCTCTTCCTAGTGGCATATTATGTACGTCATTTTTTCAATTTGCTCGTCGACAAAATTCAGCTAGACTAGGTCAACCAGTTCTTGAGAACACAAATCAATGTTTAAATCATCAAAAAATTCGTTTCAGCTCATATAAACAAACAATAGATTCTCGAGCAAGTCAAAATGATTCATATTCGAACAATGCTAAAGAATATCATTCTATTTCAAATAATCATCATCCTCGAACAAATTCAACAAATCTATCAAGAACAAACCGAGAAAAAAAACCATTAAATGCTGCTGTAATTGAAACAACTGCTGAAGTACATATACCATTATCAAGATCTGATGTATTCGGATGATATGAAAGAAAATAGATCTAATCATTTCTAAAACTTTACAAACTTATTTTTTGTTGTTGTAATCGTTTATCAAATAAGCACTATGTAATTAATCTTTAAAAGAAATAAATATTTAAATGTTATATTTTTTTTCTACTAAAATTTAAAACGTAATATTACGAGGGTGAGTGTAGGTATTTTCTTCTACATAGAGCACACCCACACACTCATCCGCATATTGTTTCTCTTCAAACAAAACTAAATTGGAATGCAACAAGACCATTCTCAATTATTGCATATGGTGAAGGATCTGTTAGTTTTCTTAATGGTTAGGGACTGAAAGACTTTCACCTGATAGTTGATTATAAATCTAAGTGTCAATAGTGTTTTATCAAATCTATTAAATATTCTTTGTAATGTTAATGTTTTTTTCAAAAGATTTATTGATTTATTCACATAATTCTTTTACCTATCATTGCTTTGTAAAATTGTGGTTCACACCAAAGCTTTCCTTATCTTTAATAACTGGCACCATCTTTATACATGAATAAGAAGAGGATGAACATATTAGCTACTTAACACACATTCACAAACAAATCAATGCGGGTAGGTGTATATATGGTTGTAAGAGATACTTAGACTACATACCCTCAATCGCATTCTTTACAAACGTGTTATTTGACTGCATTCAAGAACAGTTCTCAGTTCTTTTTTTTTCCTTTATGAGTAATTACGAAATACTCTATTTACAGAACGAAAAAGAAAAAAATGACTCATACATATTTTAGCTGTTTTTCTTCTGATTTTAGATGTGTTGATGATAATAAGATCTAGATAG